CTAAGGTCCCCATTTGTGGACCTTCATATGTCTTTTTCTTTGCACGTGCAGTTTCTGCTTCCTGGAGCACCTTTCCTTAAAGTGTCACCCAGAAGGCTGCCTTCGCTAACCCTCTCCCCACCTTCCGTGTCCTCCCTCCCAAGCCAGGTCAGGGACTTCCCCCTCTTTTTTCCTCCCACAGACTCCCATCTCTGTCACCCCTTAACATAATCCTTAGCTTAACATAACCTCAGCTTAAAAGTCTGTCTCCACCTCTCAGCTTTGAGGCCCAAGATGGCAGGGATTGTGTCCCCTCAGGGACCTGCACTGTGCCTGGCACACAGTAGGTACTCAATAAATGCTAATTTAATAGGAGGGAAACAATCTGTATAGTCACTTTAGATCATAATATGCTCCAAATGGGTTAAAGACTTAGATGTAATTTTAAATAATTATTTCAACAAATATTTGTGGGGTTTTTTCTTTTGTTTTGGCTGGTAAGGGGATTCAAACCCTTGACCTTGGTGTTATCAGCTCTGACCTCTGACCAAGTAAGCTAACTGGCCAGCCTGATCAAACACTTATTAGGCACCTAATGTGTGCCAGGGGCACTAGATAAAGCAGTGACCAAAACACATCGATTCCTCGTTCTTATGGTGTTGACACTTTAATGGGGGAAACAGATGGCCAACAAATAAATAAATAACAGAGAGTTTGTTTTTCAGATAGCGGAAGTAGCTACTGGGTTAATAAAGCAGAGTAATTGGATAGTGACTGGGGAAAGGCCACGTTAGGCACTTAGGAGGCGGGAACACACAGTTGAGCCCCGAAAAGTAGGGGAAGGTGGCCACGTGAACTGTGCAGTGAAGAATCACTCAGGTGAAGCAGCAGGTGCAAAGGCCCTGCGATGGGAAAGATCTGGGGTCCTGATACCCCCACCCCCAAGACACTAGGAAATAAGCTCCAGGCACACAAATCCTGACGGGTTACTCTTCTGCCGCCAGTGCCCTGTGGACCAAAGTCAAGCTCCTTAGCCCAGCACTGGGCAGCACTTGAGCGCTGCTGGGGCAGAAATGCCCCCGGGTCCGCCCTCGCGGACAGTCGCTCTAGGCCCCGCCCCCGGCCCCGCTCCACACCACAGGCCCCGCCCACACAGCTCACCCCGCCTCACCATTGGACAGTTCGGAGAGCGTCGGGCGCTGGTTGGCTGGTGTGGCCGTCAGTTAGGGCTCAGGCCTTGATAACCCGTCTCTGAGCTCCGAGGGGGCGGGCTCGGGTGCCGTGGCGCGAGGGCTGCGGGTTCAGGTAAACGCCGGCTTGGCGGGGACACTGATGGGGGTCCTGGGAGGGAGGGGGCTGATCAGGGGAGGCACCGGGACGGGGCGCTGCGCTTCCAGCCCGTCTGCGGGCTCGGCGCGCTGCGACGGCGGGCGCCGTGTCCTCGGGCTGGGACCCCTCCCACACGGGGAGCCCCGGGGGGAAGCGAGCGGAGCGGGCAGGGGGCGGGGGGCTCTGGATCCGTGAGATCGTCCTCTTTGCCGCCGCAGGAGCCACTTGGGGGCCTTGTTCACCCCCTGGCGCCCCAACCTGCTCTGGGATACGTTCTCAGAGTTGGTCCCGGACGGCTTGGGGACCCGGGTCCAGCCCCCTCGCGCTGGGCTGGGGGTGGGTGTGTGTGTGGGGGGTGATACGGAAACAGTGTTGCGGGGAGGGACGTTCGGCCCCCGGACCCTCAGACAATAGGCAGCGGATGGGACCGCCCGGTGGCGTTTCCTGTAGGAAACTGCTCTGTCTCTGCGAGGCCGACCTGGTTGGGGGGTGGGGAGTGGGGGTTGAGCTGAGAACCCCCTCCTGCCCTCATCAGCCTCTCCCCACCCCCATCCCCAACCTCCAGGGTCTGAGAGTCCCACCGCAGCATGAGGGAGTGACACCAACCAGGGCCTCAAAGCTGGGAAGGCGCCCCCTCCCCGGGACCGGAATCCGCACTGCTCGCCGCGTCCCCATCCCTCAGGTTTCATGATCACAGTTCTGCGTCCCGAAATAGTCCCTGGGGCGGGAATGGGGGCGTATGGTGTCGTCTGTGACGGCCTAATGAGGGGGTCTCAGGCGAACGATCCGGATCTAGACGTGACAGCCAGGGCCGGGAGCGGCGGAGGGGGAGGGCAGCTACACGCCCCCACTCCAGTGAGGCTGCAATCCCTGGGGCGGCCAAGGTGTGAGCCCACCCCTCCACGCTCCCCCACCCCCAGTCTGGGACTGACATAGGTGCAGGCTGCGAGGACCAAAGCCTCTCCGGCTCCCCGCTCCTCCTGGGGAGGGAAAGGAGCTCTATCTAGAAGGCGGTCGAGTGTGGTGGCCAATACAGGGACTCTGGCCAGGCTGCCTGGGTTCAAATCCTGCCTCTGTCCATGTGTGACCTTGGGCAGGTCATTTAATCTCTGCGTCTAGGGCCGGCCCGTGGCTCACTTGGGAGACTGTGGTGCTGATGACACCAAGGCTACAGGTTCGGATCCCTATATAGGGATGGCCGGTTAGCTCACTTGGGAGAGTGTGGTGCTGACAACACCAAGTCAAGGGTTAAGATCCCCTTACTGGTCATCTTTAAAAAAAAAAAAAAAAAAATCTCTCTGCGTCTCAGTTTCTCCATCTGTACAGTGGGGGTAGGAATATGATACTAGGAAAACCAACCTTAGAGGGTTTAGCTAGGATTAAAAAGAAAAAGAAGATAATACCCCTGAATTAGTTAAAATGGGGGCTGGCTCATAGTAAATGCCAAAAGTATTATTTACCACTCTAGGGGCACGCATCCATTTCTTTTTTACTTTTTGATGTCTGGATGGTATGGGGAATTGAATCCTTAGACCCTCGTGTTATCAACACCGGGCTCTAACCCACTGAGCTAACCAGCCAGCCCATATCCACCCATTTCTCAGCCCAGCCCCTGGGGTTGGCTGTTCCAGCTGGTTTAGGTCTTAGGGCTGGCCCACAGCTGTTTTCTGAGATCCCAGAGCCTGGTATTTGGGTGTGACCGGGTCGCAGGAGGAGGAGGCTGACCCCATGGAGTCACACAGCCAGCTCAGCTGTGTGAGAGGCAGGCTCAGACCCCTAAGTCCCGGTCCAGGCTTTTTCCATAACCCAGTTCTTCCCTGGCAATTTCCTGAAAACAAGCGGGAAGAGGCACTGGCTGTCCTCAGTGATGACCTGCTGCCCTGTTCGTCCGCCTCTGGCAGCTGGTGTGAGAGGACGGAAACAGCTGCTTGGAGACTGGAAGGGGCCCCACCTGGCTTTGGGGTGGGTAGGGCTGTGTCAAGGACCCAGGCTGGACAGACATGAGGAGTGGAGGGGTCCCTCCAGCAGTGGAACAGGGGATGACTCAGGCAGGCTGATGTGGCTGGTGGTGTCAGGCACACAGGTGATCATCACAGGAATGCAAGAGGCTGGAAGGGTGGCTGGGAGGGTTGCCAGATGGTTAGCACAGATGGGCTGGGGGCCAGAGAAAGGATGGATTTGGTCTTGTAGGCACCAGCAGAGGGCTGGACACGCAAGGGGGCAGTGAGAAGCTTTGGCCAGGGGCTGGTTGGTTAGCTCAGTTGGTTAGAGCATGATGCTGATAACACCAGGGGCCAGGGTCCAATCCATGTATCGGTCAGCTTAAACACACACACACACAAAGAGAAGTTTTGGCAGTTTGGGCTGGGCACTGCTGGTGAGGAGTCCAGAAGGTGGGCAGAGACCAATCTGAGGGTATTTTCCATAGGCAAGGGACTTAATTGCACTGTGCCTCAGTTTCCCCAGGTGGAAAATGTTAATGATAATATCTATCTTGTAGGATTGTATGGGGGTTACATTTAATTAGGCAGGCTATACAGTAGGCACTGGATACAAGCTGCTTTCCCCACCCTGAAGATTTTCCATATGGGCCTTCTGAAGCCCCGTCTTTCCCATCCTATGCTTTTTGACCCAAAGTTATGAACTCAATATTTGTCCTTCTTAAATATCACATTATTAGATGTGGCCCAGTCTCCCTGACTTTTAAATTTTTTTGCAGCTGGCCAGTACAGGGATCTGAACCCTTGACTTTGGTGTTACCAGCACCACGCTCTTCCAAGTGAACTAACAGGCCAGCCCACCTCACTTTCTAAACAAATTTACAATTTTTCTTTCTATTGGTTAGCATGTGGTGTTATAACACCAGGCTCAAGGGTTCAGATCCCTGTAGCTGCCCGCCCCCCAAATTTTTTCTTCTAGAAGGAAATCCCTCACTTTTTTTAGAGCTTCCATCTGTCACCTGAAGAGTCACTTACCGGGGCCGGCCCAGTGGCGCACTGCTACAGTGCGCCGCTTGAGAGCGCGGTGGCGCTCCCGCCGAGGGTTCGGATCCCACATACAGACTGGTTCCCGCTCACTGGCTGAGCGAGGTGCGGGCGCAGCACCGAGGGTTGCGATCCCGTTGCTGGTCCCGGTCCGTACGGGCGCGACACTGAGGGTTGCGATCCGTTGCCGGACACGAAAAAAGACAAAAAGGAAAAAAAAAAAAAAGAGTCACTTACCCCCAGCCCCAGCCCCATGGATAGTCACAGCTCTTACAATTCAGATATTTGTGGGTCCCATTACGAGCTCTTACAAGTCAAGGACAGAACCCTGTGTCACTGCACTAGAAACATTCCAGGGAGACAGGTATCCATTGATTCGCATCCTTGGTATATCCAGCCCACATTTCTCCATTTCTACAAGGGTCTCACAAGTGACCTGGGTAAAAATTCAGATGCACAATTATATCTTGTTTGCATTTCTTTTTCTTTCTTTTTTTTTAAAAGATGACAGGTAAGGGGATCTTAACCCTTGACTTGGTGTTGTCAGCACCACACTCAGCCAGTGAGCGAACCGGCCATCCCTATATGGGATCCGAACCCGGGGCCTTGGTGTTATCAGCACCGCACTCTACCGAGTGAGCCACGGGCCGGCCCATTGTTTGCATTTCTTTAAGGAAGAAAAAAATTCAAGAGATCCTGTCTTTTTTTACTTTGTTAATATGCAGAATCAGACCTGATGAGTTTTTAATGAGCCCTGGATTGGCTTCCAAGTCTTGTCTTCCTTTCCTAAAGCCTCGCAGCCTGCCCTTTTGAGCTTGGAGATTTCCAGATTTCCCCAGGGATTGATAGAAAACCGGGCAGGTCTGCAACACCTCCCCCACACTCCCACGTACTCTTATTTTCTTGATCATCTTTTTTTTTTTTTCTTCACGTTATGCCTTTCCTGTCTCCTCTACCCAGCAGGCTGAGACCTGGCACCTAGGGGTCCCTACATTCATTCAACCCAAAGTTTCAAGGTCTGTTGAAGGAGGGGGAAGGAAAAGGCCTGGGCAGAGGGGTGAGGGAGTGGTGGAGAAAAGCTCTTGGGTCTGTTTACTTAGACTCAAAGGTGGGCTCCAGAGGCTCAAATCAGAGGAACAGGGCCCAGCCCTACCTCACCCCCCACCTGGGGGGGTCTTTTTTCAGGGTGTGTCTGACGGCAACTTCAGGAAACATGGCCAAGTTTGCCCTGACTCAGAACCTGCCCGGTGAGTGTGCAAAATAGATTACATGTGTGTGCACAGATCCACACTTGGGGCTGGGATGGGTGAGGGCCCTGCAGTTCCCTCCTTCACACGGGGGCCAGAGAGCCCTTTCTAAAGGTCCATTGGACAGTGTCATGACCCTGCTTAAAATCCACCTGTGGAACCGTATCACAAGTGGAATAAAATCCCAGCTCCCCATGGTGGCCCTCAAGGTCCTCACAGTCTTGCTCCTGTCCACCTCTCCATCTCCTCTCCCTGCTCCCTTCCTTCCTAAACTCTTCTGGGGCACCATGACCTCCACCCTGCTGTTATTCCAGCTGACCCAGCTCACTCGCACCCCAGGGCCTTTGCACAGGCTGTGTTCTAGGAACCTCCTGTCCCCAGCTGCTTCCTTATCATGCAGGGCTCAACTTATAGTCCCCTCAGCAGGAAACCTTCCTTGAAGAGCCAAAGTCGTGCACCCTCCAGTTATCGTTTCATTGTGCTATTATTACTGCCCTAAGCACCATTCGGAATGATTGCATTTATTTATCTGTCCCCTACAAGAGGGCAGGGACGTTTGTCTTGCTCACTGCTGTGTGCCCAGGGCCTAGAAAAATGCTTGGTACATAGGAGGCTCTCAATAAACACGTATTGTGAGAATATTTGGGTACAGATAGGCGTGCAAGCCTCAGGTGTTAAGTGTATGCAATGTTAGGTGTGCGCACGATTTTGGTGCGGGTGCAGCCGTGCAGGCATGTCCTGGGGCTGTGGAGGTCACACTCCATTTGTCTCATCTCTCTGGGGTTTCCCTGGCCTGACGCCCCCCACGTCCCCGTCATGCCCGCAGACCTGGGTGGCCCTCGCCTGTGCCCCGGCCTCACCGGGGGCGCCCGCAGCCCGAGCTCGCCCTACTCGGTGGAGACGCCCTATGGCTTCCACTTGGACCTGGACTTCCTCAAGTACGTGGACGAGCTAGAACGCGGCTCCGCCACCCGCCCCGCCCCCGGACCCGCCCCCCCCTCTGGCCAGGGGCAGAGCCCGTTCTTCTTCCTGAGCCGTTGTGCCGTCCTGCCATGGTTGCCGGCGTTTTAGCAGGGCT